TTGTCATTCAAATTTACCGATCTCGATCCTATTGCTGGACTCTTATCCACTCTTATATTCCTTGCATCTCACATAACTGTGAACAATACAATTAAATAAAACTTAAAATTCTTCACACAATAATTGTATTACCTAAGTATTCCAACTTAATTTACATTTTTCTTTCAGTTTTTTTTACTTTTAAAGTACATTTATCCTAAATTGTCCTTGATTATATGTTCTGTGCTGTGAACACTGGGAATTGTAACATAGGAATGAGGACGTTCATTGTCATCTTCCAGAACATCAACATCCATAGGTTCCAATTGATTTATATATTCTTGAACTATATTTAAACCGTTGAAAAAAAAAATATAAAATGGTAAAATTTGATGGGCATTGTGAGAGAAAAAAAGCTTTCTACTAGAAATTGTCTTCAGACAAAAAAAATACTTTGTTCGTACCTGGTAATATATAGTCGTGATCCATTAAATGAAAATTTGGCATAGTAAAAAATTAAATAAAAATTGAAAATTGAAAACCTTCAAAAATGTGTAGGAGTGAAGTTTAAATAAAATGCGTATAGATTGAGTTAAACAAACCTGTAACCCAGTTTTCTATAATATGTTATAATTTCAAGATCTATAAATAAATAATATTGGATTTTCCCAAAATAGTGATAGGTAATCATCTTTTCTACTATCTTATTAATTTTATTAAATATGAATGAGCATTTTAGATTTTAAGCAGAGAGATGAATATTAATTTATAATAATGTAATTTTATTTTTTTTATGTAAAAAAAATATTTTTTGATTGCATATTTTTATGTATATTTTTTTTTTGTATATCTAGTATTTAATTAAAATAATAAATGCATCAAATACAGTGAATATTAAAACATGTTATTATATATATAAATATATAAATAAAATATCTTTTATTATTGAAAAAATGTTTAAGAAGATTGACCCTACCATAACAATATTTAAAATTAATAATTTGTCAGTCTTGTAAAGTACCTAAGTAAAATTACTTTTAAATGGATATACATATAGACAGTTTTATTTAAGATCTTATTTAATGTACCATAAGTTAACTCTTGTAATTTTATAGTTTCTACTTTCTACACTAAAACACAAGTGGTAAATGCTCCTGAGTTCAGTTAGGGAAGTTCAATTAAGGGAAAATTAACATGTACGTCATATAATATGTATATATCTTATAATAAAAATAAACAATATCATTTAGTTAATCATATATTAATTTGTTTTTATTCTATAAATTATAACATTACATTTAAATTAATTGAAAATTGTAACGCATTAAAAGGTAAACCTCTACATTTATGTTACATAAATTCTTATACAATATAAAATTTTTATTTAATTTAATTTTTACATTTTTCCAACATTGTCTCATATTAATAATAATTAATATATTATAGGTACATTTAAATTATGGTATTAAATATTATAACTAGTTGTATCCATTGTATTTGTGTTAATTGTTTCTTTGTAAAGTCTTCCAAGAGAACAAAGCTTATGTTTATTGTCTTCAATGATGGGCTTGTAGTAAGTTTTTGTTTGAAGTGCACCATGGCTGATGCTGAAAAAAAATTAAGTAAGGTTATTTCAGTTACTTTATGGAAAATATTATAAACATTTAAAATTAACATTTTGACATTTAATGTACATCAAACCCACTATAATTGACCACCGTATTTTAATTGTATTTCTTCAGTCCTGTTAAATAAGATTGTATTTAGTATTAGTATTTATTTATTTAACGCAATACTATTTACAAGCAAATTTTGGAGTATCGCATGAAGTAGTTACCCGACCAGTTTTCTAATTCTAAATACTGCGGTACTTTCACTTCGGTAATTCTATAAATGCGGTACTTACACAGCATTTCGAATAATATAGATATTTTATTCGGTAACGTTGGTGTACATGTAGAAGGTTAGCGATAAAAATGTCTTATCATTTTTCGAACAACTATCGCGATCCGGATATAATGGACTGGAAACGAGCAGCTTATCCAGTGGCCTCTAAAATACGTACAATAAACAAATGCGGGGGGTCGTAACCATAATCGAGACTTTACAGCGCCATCTGTATAAAACACGAACTGAGATACAAAATGTGATGCTAAATAAGACCACTGGTAGCGCTGAAAACATTCAATTATGAATGTTGATGATAACAACGGAACCTTTTGCGGGACGTCCACGTCACCCGCCCGGCCGCCCACCTTGTCGTTTCCAGTCAATTATATCTTAGTCCGTGATGTAGACTTACCCGCTTATTCTAATATTATTAGATTACTGACATACTGTATAAACAAGATATCTTAATTTGTGGCTACACTACTATTAATTGCTATATTAGCTGTAGTGTGTAAACTGTAAGGTTTTGTAATGAGCGTTACGTCCGCTAAAACTACCCACCATCTAAGGGAAACACTTAGATGGTGACCTGCAAGCCGCACCGTGTGTAGGCCCTAAAGCCAAGTCGGTGGAACTTGCAGGCTTTAGTACACACATTGGCTACTGAAAGCCAAAGATTTAATTTGTGGAAAAGAGGATAATAAATAATAAATCATTCATTTTGGGTAATTAACAAGTGTATTATGCATGTTAATACTAAATTAGCATTAAATAAATAATAATTTTACATAATATTTAAGTAATAAATGGGCATATTAAGTATTAATAATTTTTGGGGCTCGCCTGGAAGCGAACAACATAAAGGGGTCACACATCATGTGAATGGCAATTTATATGATAAGAATGGGTTTCTGAATTAATAAGTTTTGGGCACATGGCAGGTGCATCATTTTAAATAATAACTTATACACCACGAGGTGGTGAAAAATGTTAGAATCGCATGGAAACGGGGTTAGAATAAATGATAACTGGGGATAATGTACTTAGGATATCTAGCATGTTGCAAATTGTTACACTAATGACAATTCCATGTAGGTATCTACAATTTGGAAACTTTTCAGGAGAAACAAAAAACTGTTTTACTTTGATTTGAAAACATTTGTTTGTACTTTAATTGTATTTTTATACTAATTATTCAGTTTAAAATGATTTTTGTTCAAATTTTAATTATCAATGAGAGTTTTTTAAGGTAGATAACTGATATTCATAAACAAAGTCAGTTACGTTTTACATACGTTGCCTGTTTAGTTACGAGTTTTTGCATTTTTCAAATTCTTATTTCAATAAAAATAATTGCATGAAAAACCACATAACTAAAGAAACAATATAATATTACTTTACAGTCCATTACTAATAAGACATTTTCAAAATAAATAAATACTTGTAAAACTGTTAGTATACTTAACCCAATTTATTTTCTAAATGTAATTATTCGGCTTAATAATTGTCACATTGTAATTTTAATAACAGTATAACAATTTAAAATAAAATAATAAAAACATAATATTAAACTGCACTATAAAATATTATATTATCAGACTTGATTTTATTCTAAATAATACTGAGAACTTTTTCTATTACTGACCTAGTGTAACAATTCAAAATAAAATAATAAAAACATATTATTAAACTGTAACATAATTAAAATTATATCAGACTTCATTTCATTCAAAATAAATAATACTGAAAAATTAAAATGCTAACATAATAAACAGAGTGTAGCTGTTTAAAGTAAAATTAAATTAAATTAAAAAACATAACCTTAACTAAACTATAACCTTGCAGTGCTCTACTATTATCGCAGTTGGTAAGTTCAATACTTTCAGCATTAAAGGTAAAACCAAAAAACATTTTTTTATGGTCAGATTCTACCGTAACATTAGCCTGGATTTCAGCCTGTCCGTCAAGGTGGAAGCAATTTGTTGCCAATAGAGTTAGTGAAATACAAAAATTAACATCTAATGCTCAATGGAACCACATAAAATCGGAAGACAATCCAGCAGATCTAATCTCGAGAGGAGTTCAACCTTCAAGGTTGATTGAAGCATCCTTATGGTGGTCAGGTCCAACATGGTTGAGATTCTCAAATGATCAGTGGCCAGTATCCATTACTGCACCTACATCAGAAACAGTACTTGAAGAACGAGTTATAAAAACACAAGCATTTGTAACGTCAAGTATCTAGTTCGAAAATCATTCGTCATGGTCCAAATTAATTCGAACTGCGTATGTATTTCGATTTATACGTAATACTCAAGCTCGATCTCAATGCAGGGAAAAACTAATCGGCCATCTTACTACTGAAGAGTTTCGACAAGCAACATTGGATTGTTGCAAATTAGTTCAATCTGAAGTATCAGATATAACTAAACTTTCGAATAATAAAAATTTGTCATCAAAAAGCAAGTTGTTATGTCTAGCTCCATTTATTGATCAAGAAGGAGTTCTTAGAGTTGGGGGACGACTAAGACATTCATCCTTTACAAACGATAAGAAACATCCAATTTTATTGCCAAAACAACATCACATTACCAAACTGATTGCTAAGTATTTGCACGTGACCAACCTGCATGTAGGGCCACAGACTGTACTAACCATTATACGTCAGAAGTACTGGCCACTAAGTGGAAAAAACCTATGTAAACAAATCGTCCACTCATGCATTGTATGTTTCAAGGCTAAACCCAAATTTCACTCTCCACTTATAAGTCAATTACCAAGTGCCAGAGTAACGCCATCAAGACCATTCACCAGCACTGGTATTGACTTCTGTGGACCTGTGTACATCCGACAATCAAAAAACAAGCGAGCATGCAAGGTAAAAACGTACATAGCTGTATTTGTCTGCATGGCTATTAAAGCAGTACATCTTGAGCTTGTGAGTGACCTTAGTTCCAACGCATTCACTGCAGCACTCAAGCGGTTCATATCAAGAAGAGGAATGTGCAAAAAATGTACTGTGATAACGGAAAAAACTTCATGAATGGGTAATCAAAAACAAAGAAAAAATTGCTCAAATATGTTTACCCGATAGCATTGAGTGGCATTTCATACCACCGAATGCTCCACATATGGGTGGACTGTGGGAAGCTTGTGTGAAGTCAGTAAAATACCACTTGCATAGAGTTATGGGAACTGAATGCTTAACCTTTGAAGAAGTTGCCACCCTTCTTTCCCAGATTGAAGCTTGTCTCAACTCAAGACCGATAACTTCACAGTCCAATGATCCAAATGATGAAAGACCTCTGACTCCAGCACATTTTTTGGTTGGTGATTCCATTCTCTTACCCATTGAGCAAGACAATGCTGATACGCAAATGAACAAATTGCAAAGATGGAGCAGAGTGCAATCAATGGTTCAATCATTTTGGAAACGTTGGTCAAACGACTACATCACATCACTTCAACAAAGAGGAAAATGGCACAAGCAATGTCCTAACATCAACGTTGGTGACTTAGTCATAATCAAAGAAACCAATATTCCACCATCTCACGGGATGCTTGGCCGAATCATTCTCCTTCACCCAGGGACTGATGGAGTAGTGCGTGTAGCCACAGTCAAGACTGCGCAAACAACACTTAAACGTCCCGTTGTTAAACTTAGTAAAGTTCCTATTGATTAAAATTGTGTAATCCTATTTATAACAAGTAAAAAAAAAATGTGTTATTATTTTTTTTTATGTCATGTTAAGCATTTTTATTACATTTTTTCATGTCATTTCAAATTTGAATCATTATTATAAGACTACTTATTATTATAATTTTAGTTGAAGACTTCTTCAACGGGGGGAATATTTTTATGTTAATGTTTATAATACTGGTGCTGTATTGGCAGCACTGATATATTTTGTGTCAATTACTCAATTATTTCATATTTTTTTGTCACCTAGTCAGTATAAAGTCATGGTTTCATGAATTCAATACCTTTTGTAAAGACATATATACAATTCAAATTAAATACAGTCCGCTTTATACATAATTAAAATAAGTTGTTTGTGTGTGTTTACTTAAAGTTCCTAGATAAATCAGCAACATGTCTAAATCACCATCATTTTCGTTCCCACGTTGATTTGTGTTTGTACAAATATCAGTTTCCCATTGACCGTCATTAGCAGATTGTATCTGAACCTTTATAATAAATGTAATATAGTTTAGAATACATAATACAATAGTACAATATATATTATTATAATATACCGATTCATTGGTGCAGTTGTCACAACCCGGACGGCGGACGACTAAATTTCTTGGGCCTCCATGACGATGTCTGGGAGGCGAAATCATTAGTAAATTGGATGGTGGATCCCTTTGTTTGGGAAGAACAGTGTTTACTGGAAATTTTGGATTATTGTACTCGATAATTACTTCTAACATTGCTTGTATTGTTTCCTCACTCAGCTGAAACACGTCAGCGTTAGATCTTATCCTCCAGTCACTGTATTTTATGTTATATGCATGAAAATCATCTTGTTGTAAATCGTATTTCTTATTTGCACATTTGTGTTGAGAATCGTAAGAAATGTTTATTAATGGCGAACCACGTCTTATCCATCCACCAACTAGATCTTTCACGTGTGTACTTTTAGGTTCCTCACGAAAAAGAATTTGAAATATACATAGTATTGTGTCCGTCAGCGCACCTCGTTCTGTGCAATTCGATCGGATGTATTGTGAATACCACAAAACGTCTTCAGATTTCACCTCGTGTAAGGATCTTCCTAAGTGATGTAAAAAATTAATTAAAAATCCTATAATTGTGCGATCGACTCGAATCGTACACCAATTGATTACACAAGTACTCTGAGCATTGACAACCCTATTGTGATTACTAGGGCCCGGATTTATATGCTCTAAAAACCTAAGAAATATGCACTATAAAATATGCATTTATGCTCTTATTTTATAGAAATATACCCTATAAAATAAAAAATATGCACAAAAATTGATGAAAAAAAAATTTTATTTCATTATTTTTATATTATGTTCACATAAATTATACTATATTTTTTTGATTCATTTTTTTAGTTTTAACATTTTGTAATTTCAATCTGAAAAATTTAAACTAAAATATTTTTATTAAATAAATTATGTGACTAAACGAAAATTAATACATACCAAAAGTATTCGTATTGCATTATACCACGAATGTTTTTTTCAGATTTTCAAATGTGAAAGTTCGTCGATTATCAGCCAATACATTTTTGTACCTTGAAAAACTCCTCTCTACTTCGACAGATGTGACGGAAGCGTATTTAAAAAGAGTTAAGAGATACGTCGCTTGGACTGAAATTTTGTTCCATATATTCCAAAGTTTCATTTGTTCCATCAATACAAGCAGAGATTTTTTTCAAGCTTTCATAGCCTTTATTTTTCTTTAAAACAGCTTGAAATTTGTCTTGAATTGCTTTTCCGACGTTTCCGTTTGGTATTTTGGAAATATTATTTTCAACATTCTTCATCAAATTAATTGAATCGTTTAAAGATGTATTTTTTTTTTTTCTAATAAAGTTATGCTACTCGGCAAAAAATTAAATTGCGATTTTATATAAGCAAGATCACTAGTTAAATTTGGATCTTGAATTAAATTTTGGGTAATTTGTATGGATACCGCCTCGTTTTTGTCAAACATATTTACTATGCGACTAAAATCTTGAAAATGATCAGAATAATAAATAGCAGCCTCTAACCAAGTACCCCACCTAGTAATTATTGGTTGTGGCGGTAACGGAATATCGGGTAACTCAGTTTTAAAAAATAATACACGTGACGATGCTTTCAAGAAAATTTTTTTCCCATTAGAAATTAATTTATCTACGTTATTTTAATAAAAATAACCAAAATATTACATATTATGTATTTAAAAACCGTATATATGCAAAAAAAAACTTTATATTTCGGATCTATTGATTACAAACCAAACTTGTAGCTTACCTAGCTATTTTTTTGACTTTTCAGAAAAAACATGCGAATGCATATAATTCCGGGCCCTAGTGATTACAGTTCTCTGACGGTTGGTCCTGTAGGTTATGATCTGGTGACGGCGGCGATTGCTCGTCTAAGTTAGTATCGCACAACATACTATCTGGTGCTACTATGACAAATAAAAAAAAACAACTTAATTTAATATAGTTGTTCCATTCTATTCAAAAATTACATGGTTGTAGGTATAAATCAATTTATTATGGGGTCTGTTTATACGCAGTCGATTAGACCACCACCTCCGTTATCATTTTGTTGTTATCAAAAAATTTAAAATGTTATCATAAATATTATATTATCACTCATATCAAATATTATTATTGTATAATATTTATAATTTAAATCCAACAATCCAAGTCTTTTGCTGGAAGTCATGTTACAATGATACAAATGATTTAAATAAACAATACAAAACTGTAAACAGTAATAATTAAAAAAAAAAACAGGTAGTTAATTTATGGATTATAAGGTACAAAAATTTAGTTATCATTGTTTTCGAATACAAATTATTACCTATTATAAATTAGAATAATACTTTTTTATTTAATAACTTAAAAGAGGCAAATTTAATATTTATTACAAGACTGGCATTACCAATAATGTTTACCAGAAACTAGATTTTTTAAATAAATCTCATATTAAAAAAAGCGGGAAAGTGTGTATCGCTCTGCTGTACATTAGGTGGACATTTTTTTTGTGATAAAGATTGAAAAATTTGTAAGGAATGTTGTATTACATTTTCAAATCTTAGATTTAAAAAGAAAATTTTTATGAATTTCTAGCTTAAAACAATTTTCGAATTTTTGTGATTTTTACGTATTTTGTCAAAATTAAAATGCCAATCTAAATAACTGGTAAAATTTTCATGTATCGTTACGCTATTTCGTAAAAATTTGAACTATAAACTCATAAGGAACCTTGTATTAAATTTCTAAGTTTTTTTGGTCGTCCAACATTTTTTACCGACACTTCAAAAAAAAATACTCAAAAAAATCGAAAATATCAGTGGTCTATAAATAACTCAAAAAAAGTCAAAATTGTTTGAAAATTAAACTGTATATATAGATATCACTTACAAAAACATTTGGTGAAAATTTCAAGTATTTATAGTGATTAGTTTTTGAATTACAACCATATAAAAAAATCGATTTTTTTGTTTGATGTTAACTTTATTAAGTTGCTTGACGATTTCTGCCTAACCGCTATGTTTTCATTAACATATCAATGTGGCTGTTGTCTAATTCAATATCATTTTAATAGCTATTATAAATTATTAAATTCTATGGTAGTCTATGAATTATAAACATATTTAAAAAGTAATATATTTCAGTAATTTCTTATGTCTTATGTTATGTCGCTTCTTGATGAAAAATGCATTGTCATTCAAATTTACCGATATCGATCCTGTTGCTGGACATCCACTCTTATATTCCTTGCATATCACATAACTGTGAACAATACAATTAAATAAAACTTAAATTTCTTCACACAATTTGTATTACCTAAGTATTCCAACTTAATTTACATTTTTCTTTCAGTTGTTTTACTTTTAAAGTACATATGTCCTAAATTGTCCTTGATTATATGTTCTGTGCGGTGAACACTTTGAATTGTAACATAGAAGTGAGGACGTTCATTGTCATCTTCCAGAACATAAACATCCATAGGTTCCAATTGATTTATATATTCTTGAACTATATTTAAATTTTAAACCATTGAAAAAAAAAATATAAAATGGTAAAATTTGATGGGCATTGTGAGAGAAAAAAAGCTTTCTACTATAAATTGTCTTCAGACAAAAAAAATACTTTGTTCGTACCTGGTAATATATAGTCGTGACTCGTGATCCATTAAATGAAAATTTGGCATTTAAAAAATTTAAAACTGAAAACCTTCAAAAATTTGTAGGAGTGAAGAGAGATTAATATTAATTTATAAGAATGTAATTTTATTTTTTCGTGTAATAAAATTATTTTTTAACTGCATATTTGTATGTATATATATTTTTTTTGTATATCTAGTATTTAATTAAAATAATAAATGCATCACATACACGAAGACTCCCGGCTTTGATGCCTTGCGGCTACAACCGTGGACCTCACATTAGCGCTGTGCGCTAGTCGAGGGCCACGGAGGTTCACGGTCGGCGTACGATGGAGTTACCCACCAACCACCGGCCGCACGTCGTCTATGGACCACGAGCACCGGGCGCACACCCGTTCCCACCGAAGTCGGGAGAGAGTGCGCCCGTACCGTTGGCTGAGGCGTGCACGTACCCTTCGCCACCCAGGTCGGGTCGCAAGCTATCCTCATTGCTTCCCGTTTTTGGTTACGGGCAACCTCCGGTGCATATAGCCCCACCGGTAGGCTGGGTGAGCGCTAAGGAGTATCTCACTCGGCAACCTTCCCCTAGACCAAGCATTCGGTCTTTTAACCATAGGGTTAGCTCCTGCTAACAGCCACTCCGAAACCAAACCGCCGTCGACCGCGCCGCGACCAAGGCCGGGCGCGACCGCCGTGTGAGGGCACGTCGTCAATTGCTCGACGCCGCGGGGCCCCCCCACATCCCGAAGTTCCATTTTTGCCCCCGTTGGGAAGGCCCATCAATGGTGAGATGGCCGGGCCGAGCTTCGTCGACTGGGAGTCTCAGCTGTGGTCCTACCGAGATTAGGATCGTGTATCGCGGGCTCACGGTGGGCCCTTACCAGTGGCGGTCGCCCTGGCGCGGTGGCCGCGACCCCCGAGTTCAAGGCTCGGTAGCCTTTACCACGCCTCCCAGAGGCATCACCGAAGTGATCGACTCGCTCTTCACGGGGTCGCAGTCAAAACCCCCAACACCCTAGTCCCCGAAGGTTTCGGTGTGTCCGCGTCCCGGACGCCGGCCCCGACTGGCCATCTCCCCTTTAGTCGCCTCTTACGACAAGCAGGGAATACTGATGCTGAATTCTGGACGGCCCCAGCAACAGGGCCGAACTCCTCGCCCTGGGCGCATGAGCACGCCCCTGGTCAGGACGCGCTCGAGCGAGCCCCGCCGCTTGTGCCGCTTACACCGTGCGTGCTCATCCGGGGCACCCCGAGACTATGCACATACACCGCCTGGTGTGGCTGCGTCCTGACCTTGATAGGTCTACCTATCTGTTCTGTTCGTCATGCACTTTCTACTGAACTTTCTCAGGGCTTCGTAAGTTCTTCTGGTACTTAGAAAGGCTCCTTTCTCGGGAGGCCACGATACTTGCTCTTCCCTCATGACCGTTATCAGGTCTTCTCGGTAAGCCCTTGTCCTGGTGCACGCCAAGAGTACGTGTCGCACTGTTTCCGCTCCATTTCCGCACGCGCAATTAGCGCTTCTCACGAGCTTGAACCCGTGCAATTTCGCATTGAAGTCGCCGTGCCCAGTGAGGAACTGGGCCGTGTAATGATCCATCTTTAGCGGCAGTTTGCATCTCCGGGCCAGATCCGGTATCATGATCTTAGTCCACTCTCCCTTGTCCAACTCATCATAGCGGATCTGCCATTCCGCGACGAGGCCCTGGACTCCATCTTCGTATTGTTGGCTGTCAATCGTGCCGTTCCTGTGCCTACGCTTCAGCGCCACCCTCCTAACCTCCAAATCGAGTGGCAGTACGCCCGCTACGGCCGAGAGGCAGTTGGTTGACGCCGTCCTGTAGCAGCTCGTTATCGCCAGCAGCGGTGCCCTTTGCATGCTACATAGCGCGTTAATGCTCTTTTTAAGGCCGCACCCGCCTTCCGCCCATATTTCCGCGGCGTATGTGATTCGCGGGAGGTAAACCGCTTCATATATTATCTTTGCCGCAAGACGGCCCATGCCCCAGTTTGCTGATGTCATCCGCCTTAACCTGCCGTATAGTCCCTCCGATTTGCTCTTTAATGCTTTTACATGTTCCCAGAAGCTACATCGTGGGTCCAGGTAGACTCCTAGGTACTTGACTGTTGCACTGGACATTATTCTTGAGGCTGCGGGGTCAGTTCCGAAACCCACATCGTAACCTGGCTTCAGTCCGCCCTTAATCGACATCATCTGCGTTTTTGTCGGCGAGAAGCGCAGCTCATACTCCTTTGCCCAGGTCAGCATTTTCTGCAGGTATCCTTCGATCCTGGTGAAGGCCGTCTGTGGCCTTGCTGCTCCCACAAGTAGCGCTATATCATCAGCGTAGAGTACTGCTGTGGCTGATGCATCCATCTTGATGTCATCCAAGCCCGTCATGGCGACCTTCCATAAGGTGGGCCCCAGCTGAGATCCCTGGGGGCAGCCACGTTCAATCGTTCGGGAGTACCGTTCCCCTTGTAATGTGAGAGATGCTGTTCGTCCGTTAAGGTAGTGCCCGACCATCCTTAGCGTGCGGACGGACGCCCCAAGTTCGTCTAATCTCTTTAGCATCGGGTGCCACCCAACATTGTCGAAGGCCCCGGTGATATCCAGGAACACTCCGACAACATGTCTTGACTTACTGGCCCCTGTCCAGTCGTATACCGCTTTCATAGCCGTGACTGTCGACCTCCCGGGCACAAATCCATGCTGCGGGCTGTAGTTGTCGAGGTTAGTCTCTCTGACCAGGTCTTGTATTATTAACGTCTCTAGTGCCTTTGCTAGCGTTGGTAGCAGACTAACCGGCCTATAGGATTTGGGACTCGACATGTCCGCCTTTCCTGGCTTTGGTATTACCACCAAGTTGGCATCTTTCCATTCCTGGGGAAAAGTGGCATCCTTCATGCAGTCCTTAAATAGCTTAGTTATTTCTTCTGCGAGTATTGGCCATGCCTTCCTCAGCATGCCTGCCGTTATACCATCTAATCCTGGCGCCTTTCCTGGCTTCATTCTCCAGATGGCCGCTCTAACTCGCTCTGAGTCTACTGGCTCACCATATTCCGGGAGCTTCTAAAGGTTAGCGTATTTTCTTCTCGTGGAAAGAATGTGCTGAGAAGCAGTTCAGCTGTTTGCCCTATTGTACTCGTGTGGACTCCGTTTTCACCCACCATGGTCGAGGGCACAGATCGTGTCTTCGGACCTCGCTTAGCCCAGCAGAAAGCCTTTCCCCAAGGGTTCGTGTTTATGTCACTGGAAAAGTTTCGCCATGCCGCGGCCTTAGCAGCTCTAATTTTGTACAGGTACTGGTTGCGTACTTCGTTGTATGCCGGCCTGTCAGTAGTGTGTTTGCCCTGCCTTCGCAATTTGCATAGGTTCCTCTTAAGGGCAGTCAGCTCATCATTCCACCATGGCTGTCTGCCAGTTCGGCCGCCTGGTTTTCTGATCTGTGGTATTGACGCCACCGCCGCACTTCGAATTGCACCTATGATGGTGCGGGCCTGTGCATCTATTGTTGACCCATCCACGGTCGGCTTTAGCCGGCTCAAACAGTGAGCAAATTTGCACCAGTCCGCCTTACGGACGTCAAAACGGCATGGTAACATGACTTGTGATGCTCTCTGGTGGAGGCTAAGATTAAATGTAATTACGTTGTGGTCGCTGTCTGTCACATCGCTGACCATCCAATCGCTGACCATATCGCGGACCTGGGGCGTAAGCATCGTAATATCAATATTCGAAGCACCCATGCCCTCGCGTGCGTATGTGTTCATCTGTCCGGGCATATTCGCCACCGAAAGGTCAAAGTCCTCTATGAGCTCCTCTGTCTGGAGTCCCCTGCTGTTGCCAGTCGGACAGTGCCACATCTGAGAGTGCCCGTTAACGTCTGCCCCAATGAGGGTACGTGTCTCTCCTGTTAGTACCGTGCGCAACTTTTCCGTGAAGTGTTGTGTCGGCACATTGTATTTAAAGTACGCCGACACCACCGTGATTGCCTCTGCTTGCAGTCCACGGCTTATCTTCACCACCGCCACGTGCTGGCTCGACATATCCGCCAACTCGATGGCCTGTATGTCGTTGCTTAGTAGGATTACAGCTGCGCCGGCTTGATCTCCCACGAGCACTTGCCTACAGTTCTCGAAACCATAAATCTTTCGGTCATGTGTTATCGGCTCTTGGATAAGCACAATATCTATAGCGCTTGCTGCACAGAAGTCCCTTAGTTGCATGCTCGCTATCCTCTGTCTGTTTACATTGTGCTGCACGAACCTTATGGACTCGGTCATTGCTGGCCGAAGTCCGTGCGCCTGAGCAGGTTTCTAATTGCTTGGCTTCTGGATTTGCAGGCCGCGCTTGACGCCTTGTGTGGTCCTTTGCAGTTTACGCACCTGACCCCTTCCTCATTACAAGTCCGGGAATCATGTGCGCCCGCGCAGTTCCTACACGTAGGCGATTTTTTCTCGCATCTTGTGGCTGTGTGCCCGTACTGTTGGCAATTATAACACTGCGGTAACGAGCTGTGCACTTTGCACCTACATCGTGTCATTCCTATGTACAGTGACTTATTTTCAATTTTTGTTAGTACGCTTGGGGGTACTTCCACCACCCAGTGGACCACATCGCTGTTGCGCGGACCCAATTTGTGGAGTGGCGTCGTATTATCTATATCTTCCGCAGTAATGCCCAGCTCGGTGTTCTGCGCCAAGAGACACTCGGTTAGTTCTTCTTTGGACACCCCTCCGTCAACGTCATATATAATGACGCGGGGCTTTTTCGGGCTTATTTCTACAACATTTTCGATGTTTCTCATCACCTCCAACGTATTGGCATCATCAGGAATTATTACCAGCGCTTTGCCACTAACTATTGTCTTGGCCTTTGGGTTTTTACATTTTGTCCTTACCAACTGCCAAATTTCCGATTTGGCACTAGCTACTGTTACGTCCTGAGGTATTTCTATGAGAAAACGAGGTGCCGCCTTCACCTTCCTGCTTTTGTCAGTGCGGTCCCTCTCGGCTGCCCTTTTGGACCTCGCCGGAGGTACAGCTGTGGTGACTGGCGCAGCTGCCGTCCTAGGTGCCGTTTTTGCCGTCGTAGAGGCGTAGGTGGGCTGTTGGATTGCTACCGGGCGCGATACTTCCCTGGTGGACTTCAGCAAGTCCAGCTCTGCTTTCAGGCAACTCGCTTCGTTATTTTTAGCGTCTAGCTTATCGATAAATACCGTTAGACTTTGCTGGAGGGCTTCGTCCTTCCCCTTCAGCTCACCGGCTAGTCTGCTGTTATCGCTTGCTAGGCTCTGGGTCACCGACCTCAACCTGTTTATTTTGGCGAGCATTTTCTCCGCCACGTCTTTGCCAATCTTTCTCTTTTCTTTCTCTTGAACTACTGTTAGTTCGATCCAGCCGATGAGGTCATTCATTTCGTTTGCCTGTATAGTGCGGGGCAGTTTAGTCACCTGACCACCCGGCGAGGGTGGGCCACGCTTTTGACTGCCGCTGGCGCCCATGTCACCACTTTGGTTTTTGGATTCTGTGTAATCCATACCGCCCTCGTCGTCGCACCCTCCCCTTAGTCTAAGAGGGACGGAGTAGCAGTGTCTGTTAGTAATGTCCGCATCCTTATTATCCAAATATTCCGTTTCCGTTGTCATTTTCGCATTTCCAGAGCTAGTGATGACGACCTGTGTGGCGAGCTCACCCACACCTGCCGGATCTAAGGTTTCCTGGGCCTTTGTATCAGTAACATCAATTCTGTTTTTATGGTGTCTTTTCATGGTTAGAGTTTTGGGGGGTTGCCCCGAGTAGCCCTACACCCTCTGGCCGCCGGCGGGCTAGATCGGCGGTTGCATTATCCATGCCAAGGGTTAGAAGTCCGGGGTCGGCCTCCTCCGGACAGTTTTGAACGCCTCTTAGCGCCGAGCATAAGCCCGGTCGGGCGGGGTCACCACGACAAGGTGGGCGATCTTCGACCCCGATGCATCACATACAGTGAATATTAAAACATGTTATTTTATATATACAGTGTGTCCCGTTTTTAATGTACCACTAAATATCTCAGCCCGATAATCTTAGATTGAAATACGGTTTGCTGCAATAGCTTAGGGGTACTGAAGTACACATTTAAGGACAAATTTCAAATTTTTAACTCTTGTAGTATGCGCATGCGCAATACAAATTTTTTTTTTTAAATTGCAACACCTATTTTTGTCAGCGGATATGGATAGATTATTTTATTCTAAGTAATTTTGATCCATTGACCATCGTTCTAAACCAAAAATTGAATGAGTTACACCTTTTGGAAATTTAAAAAAAATTAAATTTGTTCGATTTTACCAAAAACATTTATTGTTTTAAATTTGAATTGAGTGATTTTTTCATAGATTTTAATAAAGAATGTGAAGTAGGAAATTAAATAAAAAATACTCCGTTACATTGTTTTGACTTATGTAAAATTTTTTTTATCTAATAAAATGTTCAAAATTTCCTCCGTTTTTTTCTAAACACATTTCCAATCGACGACTCACTTCTCTAAAGGTTGCTGCCAAAATTTGTTCTTTTGTTAATTGTCTGCACGCTACCGTTATTTTATTTTTTAAATCCTGTAAGTTTGCTGGTGGATCTGCATAAACAACAGTCTTTAAATGACCCCATAAAAAAAAATCTAATGGTGTTAGATCAGATGACCGTGGGAGCCATTCCACTGGCCCGTGAGTTCCCATCCATCGATTTCCAAACATTTCATTTAACTGTTGTCTTACAATAATGGCATTATGAGCGGGTGCTCCATCCTGTTGAAAAAATAAGTTTTGACGAAGTAATAAAGGGACATCTTCCAACATCATCGGTAGCAAAGTTAAGAAATCTGAATAACGTCTTCCATTAAGAGTACCGTCATAAAAATGTGGACCTATTAAATTTCCTCCTAATAATCCGCACCACATATTTGTGCCCCATACTGTTTGATAATTTGTATCAACTGCCCAATGTGGATTTCCGTTTGACCAATAACGGTTATTCTGCTTATTTAAAACGCCATTATTGGTAAACTTTGATTCATTGGTCCACAAAATGTAATTTAAAAATAATGGGTCGTTATTAATTTCTGTTGTTATCCATGCAATAAATGTTAATCTACGTTCGTTATCACCTTGGCGTAAATGCTGAACTAGATCAGTTTTATAAGGATGTAACTTGTATTTTTTGAATATTTTGTGTACCTTTGTTTTTGAAAAGCCAAATTCTCTAGCAACATGTCTTAAAGATGAGTGAGGATTTAATTGAATGTACGCAATTATATCATTTTCCTGATCATCATTTTGTTCCATATTGCGTAGTGGTTGTCTCTGTGCATCTCTTATCGAAAAAGTCCCGTAAGTTCGTAAATTATTAACTAATCTTAAAAAAAAATTATGCGGTGGATGATATCTTTCGGGATATCGATTTGCATAAACCCTTGCAGCCTCCCGACAATGTTTATTACATTCACCATAAATTAAAATCATATCAACTTTTTCACTATTGTTTAACATTTTAAAGAAGAAAAAAAGAAAAATCTTTCAAAGTATTATGTTAAAAGTTATAAGTGTTATCGATGAACGTACAATACTAAGTGAACGTGCATTAGTTCATTTTTGATAATCAAACAATATCTACAATAATTATCGAAGTACTAAGAATAAAATTAGAAATAATCTACTATTATCAAAGACCAAAGTACTAATAATAAAACTGGAAATAATTAAATAACTTTTATCGCACAATAATAACGCAAATTACAACGTCATTGTCAATTTAGTTGGTCAATTTATTTTTAAATTAATTAAATTAAATTTGGCTATACATTTTTTTTTTGGTAATTTTGTATTAAATTATTTAAATGTATTTCATTTTAGTTCAAAAATTACTTACTTTTGTATCAAATTCAAGCTTGTAATGTTTTTGGTAAAATCGAAAAAATTTAATTATTTTAAAATTTCCAAAAGGTGTAACTCATTCAATTTTTGGTTTAGAACTATGGTCAATGGATCAAAATTTATTTAGAATAAAATAATCTATCCATATCCGCTGACAAAAATAGGTGTTGCAATTTAAAAAAAAAAATTTGTATTGCGCATGCGCATACTACAAGAGTTAAAAATTTGAAATTTGTCCTTAAATGTGTACTTCAGTACCCCTAAGCTATTGCAGCAAACCGTATTTCAATCTAAGATTATCGGGCTGAGATATTTAGTGGTACATTAAAAACGGGACACACTGTATAAAAATATAATATCTTTTATCATTAATAGGGGAGAGTTGCCTAGGTTGGACCACTTTGAACATTTAGGAGTATTACAGATAAAAATTTAAAATAATAAGTATTTAACTGCACTAAGGTTGTAGCTAAACATGTAAACAACAGTTTGGTATAGTTAGTTTTTTTTTTTAAAAGGTTTTAATGGTAATATTTTTTTATTTTTAAAAAATTTACCAAGTGGTCCATCTTAGGCAACCGGTTGCTTAATTTGGACCGCCTATATCTTTAATTGGACCTCTTGGATAAATTTTAAAATAAAACACATTTTTAGAATAATAAAATAATTGTATTTAAAAGTTATCAGTCAATACCTTACTGACTAGTTTTTTATAAAATAAACAACATTTTTATACCTTCTTGGTTAAATTTTAAAATAAACAACATACATAGAATAATAAAATAATACAATTTATAAATTATCAGTCAATACATATAGTCTTTGGCACTGATTGAGCCCATTAATTTTGTTTTTATATGCCCTTACAGCATGTTGTAGGTCTTCTTCTGACCACTGTCCATACTTTCCACGTTTAGCCATGTCTGTAAAAATATATGAACTATTTTAGTGGTCCATTTTTGGAAACTATTGGTGGTTCAATATAAGCAACTTTGTTTTTTTTTAGAAAAATTGATGAATAAATTTCAATATTAATATAAGTGTAAATTATTTTAAACGATTTGTTTCTTTACAAATTTGTCTATAACACCGTTAATAAATAAAGTATAGTTTACTTACCTATTTTACAGTAAAACCTTATTGATTATTTAAAAAAAATAGCATGAAAATGACTGTTTTTGGATTAAGTGATATAATACGGATAACGATGATTGATAACAATATGTGATAACTCCAAAGACGTTTTAAAACGGTTTTAAACAAATTAATAAATGTTACAATCATTAGTTATGTTTAACAGCTGATTAATTGAGGTGGTCCAATTTAGGCACCGGTCCAATATTGGCGACTTTACCCATTTAGGGCCGTTCTTACAATGTCCGGTAAAGTGTCGGTTAACGCTAACCGACTGATAACAGATTTTATTACCGGCAGAATTCTTCCGGTTAAGTGTCGGTTAACTTTAACCGGACGTCGTAAGAACGGCCCTTAACAAGATTAACCCTACCATAACAATATTTAAAATTAATAATTTGTCAGAATTAGACAGTCTTATTTAATGTACCATAAGTTAACCCTTGTAATTTTATTGTTTCTACTTTCTACACTAAACCACAAGTGGACAATTCACCTGAGTTCAGTTAGGGAAGTTCAATTAAGGGAAAATTAATATGGTAAGTCGTATATCGTCTATGTATATATCTTATAATAAAAAAAAAACAATATCATTTAGTTAATCATATATTAATTTGTTTTTATTCCATAAATGATTACATTACATTTAAATTAATTGAAAATTGTAACGCATTAAAAGGTAAACCTCTAAGTTTATGTTACATAAATTTTTTATACAATAAAATTTTTTTATTTAATTTAATCTATACATTTTTCCAACATTGCCTTATATTAATATTAATTAATATATTATACATTTAAATTATCGTATTAAATATTATAACTAGTTGTATCCATTGTATTTTTGTTAATTGTTTCTTTGTATTGTCTTCCTTGAGAACATAGCTTATGTTTATTGTCTTCAATGATATGCTTGTAGTAAGTTTTTGTTTGAAGTGCACCATGGCTGATGCTGAAAAAAAATTAAGTAAGAATATTTCAAATTACTTTATAGAAAAGATTATAAACATTTAAAATTAACATTTTGACATTTAATGTGCATCAAACCCACTATAATTGACCACCTTATTTTAATTTTATTTCTTCAGTCCTGTTAAATAAGATTGTATTTAGTATTAGTATTTATTTACTTAACGCAATACTATTTACAAGCAAATTTTGGAGTATCGCATGAAGAAAGTACCCGACCAGTTTTCTAAATTCTAAATTTTAAATCTATTGCGGTACTGTCACAGCATTTCGAATAATAGAGATATTTTATTCGGTAACGTTGGTGTACATGTAGAAGGTTAGAGATAAAAATGTCTTATCATTTTTCGAACAACTATCGGGATCCGCTCATTTATAACATACAAGATGTTAGCACAGATTATATAAAACCAGATGGTGCACTTCTTCGATTTACTGATAACACGAACCTACCTCAAATCAGTAGGGCCGCATAAGGAAAATAAAATAATGTACGACATACTTTACCATAATTTTTAATTATTGTATTAAATAATATTATGTAGTATATTTTGTATATTATAAGGAATGATCGTCAACGCTAATAGAATTCCTAAATTCATCTAAAAGTGTGTGTAACTTAATTGTGTCTAATTTAATATATGGATTAGTTTGTTGTAATCTTTGGGCCAATGTTTATTGTATCTACTTATATATTTTTTAAAACTATATTAGAGATGATCTTGTTAAGTATATAAATACTTGCTTTCAAATACTTC